TTTAACCACTACTAACAAAATTATTCAGGAATTTTTCTCGCATTCCCTTTATGAAAAAAAAAAACACGGTTTGTTAAAGTATCTAAAAATTTAGATACAAATCTCGAATCGAAATTTAAATTTTTAGATGCTGCTGCAAAATTGTTCTTTCTATGATAAATCGAATTATCGTAAGTTGAAAATTGTTCTAAAATTGAATTAAAAAATATTAAATTCTTCATAAAGTCTTATTTTAATCTATTGTTCCAATCAAGAAAATTACTGGCGGTACTTTTGAGAGACCGCTATCTCCCAGGACGACCGCAAAGGTCTGATCCCAGAGTCGATCACGAACGAAACGGATGTCTTACGGCGTCCGTTTGTCGGTGATTCCACGGTGTGTCGTGAGCTAGATCCGAGGGTCGAGTGATTTCTATACCCGGCGAGGAGCTCCCGTGCCCTTTCACGATTTCCGTGAAATCAGAATAAAAAGTTGTAACTGTTGGCCGCTGCACCGTAACCCGAGACCTGTGTATCCTACGTGTTTCGGTCCGTATCGCAGCCACGCTTTTAATGCCCGCGCTTGACGAAAGAGAACCATGAATAACAACGACGCGCGGCGTTTTCCTCGAAATACTAATATGAAAGGCATTTATTCTGGTATTTATTCACGGTCCCTCATTAAAAACGAATGTCGGTAAAGGGGCAACAAGAGCACGCGTTAATTACTAACATCGACTCTTATTTAGCGGGAATTTGAAGAATTCTTAATGAGAATGAGAATTCATTAAGTATGTCAGTAATTGCAATATTTAGCGTCCAATTGGGTGTAGATGTAAAATTTATGACGGATTGATATGCTATTTTTCTAGACACGGTCGAACGATCTAAGAATGGCATAAAGAATCAATCAGATCGGCAGCATGTGCTATGTGATAGTCACTGGACGCAGTCTATTATGGACGCTCTTATCTCTGGCAGCGTTGATGGCAGTTTTATCAGGTCTCATCACTCCCAGATGGCTTGTAGGACCACCGACCATTAAGGACACAAGTAAGTAGCTTCTTCAATTCAAATAAAGTATGTATCGAAATCTCTCCCCCCCCCCCTCCTCTCCCGTTGTTTGTTATCAAGATAAATTATAGTGAATCATTAGGATCATTTTAACCAACTCCGGTTACTTAATCGATCAGTATTATTTTATTAAATAATATAAATAAAACTATCAAATTATATAACTTAATCGATCAACACTATTTTATTAAATAATACAAATAACTATCCAATTATATAACCATAAAATATTATATATAATACCAAAACAGAACAACAAGTCATTATATTAAAATAATGCTAAAATGATTATTATTTTTTCATCATTTCCGATTCATTTTAATGTCACTCTGACGTTATCGTGACTTATTGTTCTGCTTGGATAATTATAAAACTATGACGTTAATTAATAGAATTAATTATTAATGTAAAAAGGATATTAAAAACAATAAAGCTGTCCATTAGAAATATTATTTTAAGTTAATTATCGTTTAAAAAAGATAATCTCGTGTGTCGAAATAGTTCTTAATATCGTCACAGTCATTGCTTCAAAACTTTATAGAAAACGGCACGGAACTATACACACCAACCGTCGGGATCTTCAATCGTTGCACGAGATTATTCGGCAAGACGCACTGCGCGAATTTCAACGTCGACGGCTTTGCGACAGACTCCAATGTCTTCCCGGGATGCTGGAAGGCGTCCCTGTTTTTCTTGTCCGCGGGCCTGGCGGCGATGTCGGTGACCGTGATAGCCGCCCTGCTCGGATGCTGCGTGCAGAGCATCGGCCGTAAGAGCATCTTCAATCTGGCGGGAGTGGCGCAAGCCGTTGCCGGTAATGTTGCTCTTCAACGGAGGCGAGGATTGAGATGATGGGATGACGAAACGATGAAACTCCGACTATAAGCTTCTTAGCTCGCGGCTGAAATAATCCTTGAAGTGATGGGCGATGTTTTTCATAAAAAGATTTGTATTTCTTTTTCTTTCACATGTAGTGAGATTTATAAATCCCAACAATTCTTCCTTAGAAACTTATATACAACGTTTGCTCCGATATACGTATAAAGTATATTGTTGGCCTTTTCTCAGCGTGACATTAGTAAGAATGACGTTAGATCTCAGAAAGCAATGATCGCTTCGTTGCAGCTGAGTATTCCGCGTGCGTAATGTGCTTTCAGTCTGACAATGGTGTCTCGAGAGTGCGAATGACGCAACCTCCATTGTGACGAAAGGTTGTGCCCGGAATAATCAATGAATATACATGCCTTAAAAAGTGATCCCATTGTCACGATTCTACAAATCAAATAATCGGGAAACGCATCTATGCAAAGCGTACTTTGTATTGTCGTTCTGATCTCGCACATTGATTTTTATAGGAATACTATATCTTTTTGGGATGATTTTGTATCCTGCCGGTTGGGGTGCTGAGAGAGTACAGAGGATCTGCGGTCCTGAAGCCGATGCCTTCTATCTCGCAAACTGCAGTCTTGGTAAATTAAATTAGAAAATTATAAAATTAGTTTTTAAAATCGGATTTTTATATTTTTCTTTAAGAGACAATTCTTAAATAATTACAGTTATAAAAAACATTAGTTCTAAGAATTGTGGCCATTGTTCTCCAAGCAAAACAAGGCACGATAGTGTAAAAGAAATTGTGATTTTTGAAATGAAAAATGACTTTTAATAATCATTTTGGAGCTATTTTTATATTGTTTTGATGTCATCATGATTTTTTTTTGTTTAGATTCTCTTTTATTACACAAAAAAAAGTAAAATAAAATTAGACTAGTGTTGAATTAAATTAAAAAGTCTACAAAATATAAAAAAAAAAAATTAATTTAATTATATGATTAATTACTGATATGATTATTATTAAATTGATTATCATTTAATTTAATTTACTAGATTATTATTCAGTTTAGGACTGAAACTGCGTTTCAAAACCGACTGTGTTGATGCGCAGTTTGAAGTGCTGGAAACTATATATAAATTTACTAAAAAAATATTAAGATCCACTCTCATAAAGTGTGTATATATAAAGTATATAGTATATATAAAGTGTTTTCTTCTTATTTGTGCTAAAAAAGATCGTTTCTTCAGGTTGGGCGTTTTATAGCGCGGCGATCGGTGTCGCTCTCACCTTCGTCTGCGCCGCTTTTAGCGGACAAGCAGAGAAGTCGACGGCCAGTGACAAGGTCCAAGACAAAATGAATGAAGGAAAGACCCTAATATGCTTAGCCTGAGCATGCAAATAAAATCAGCGAGGGGTCTGGCTTCGCCGTGTAATGGATGATGCGAAGCGTCAAAATGGAATACTAGAAGAAAACCAGTGCAACCAGAAATATTCACCTCGTTGTGTTCATCGCGCAGCAAAATGGAAACGAAAGTTTTATCGTGGTCGAAATTGTTGCACGAATAATTTAATTATGGGCTTGCGAGGGAAATGGACAATATTGCTGAATATCATACGCGACGTATTGTACGCATGAAGATCAAGTATCGGATACTTACCGTCTTCCCACACTTACTGCCGCAATTTATATTGACGCCTACGATGCTCTGCAGAGAATTCCTATTTTATATCATATACATGTTTTTTATATGTTAAAGAAAAATATAAAATAAAATGGATGTTTTTTGTTCACTCGATGTGAATAAAGGTGAATGTATTCTACTGTCGCAACGAAAGAATATATCTAATGATTTCTCAACATTTGTTAGCTCTATTAATTTTTCCCACTGTTTCCAGGCACACCTGATTGATAAATATATATAATGGAATTTATTCATTTTATTCTCAACAAATTTCATGAAATTCGGTCGAATGGTATAACTTAAATAGGTATATGAAATTATCGGCTGTCAGTCAATTATATACACACATATAAATAATGAAGGCACCAAGGGAATCAACAATCAATAAATTATCCGGAAATTTGTATGAAAATTTCGAATAAGACGAGTGTAATTGGCAATTATAATAAGAAATGTAACATTATAACAAAATCGCGATTACAGTTCGTGTGTGACGACACGCGTGTGATTATTTACTTAGAATATGAGTGTTATTTGGTTGATGACTTGCCGTTAGAACCGCTGACCATTGATCGGACGCCGAGGAGTAACGCTATCGTACAACTACGCGAAGAAAAGTGTATCGTATCATGACGAGAGATACTCTTGTCGCAGGAATGTCAAATTCGGCGGATGTGACACGTACGTCGATCACAGTCGAATTCTCGTCGCAGAGATCCGTCACGATAATGAGGATATTATCAGCATCTGTTACGCATTCGCATCCGAAATACGTCTCTCTCCCTCTTTTTTTCTTTTTCTCGAACAAACATTTCGAGTTATGTGCAATATTTCATGATTTATCAAATATAATCATCTTACAAAGAATCAGAAAGTATGCGATCGAGTGTTTCTGGCGCGATGAATCTCATATGCGAAACCTGGAAACATCGTATTATTGGGAACGGAATTTTCTTTCTGAAGAGAATGGAATTAAATTATACGTCCATGTTTCGCGCGGGAAATGTGAGAGTGTAACTACACATGGTCATAATTAGAACAATAATAATAAAATAATATATATCGCCGTGAGACGCGCAATATATATGATAATAAAAATAATAGGAATCTTTTTACTCCTAACTGCTGTTGACAATACCTCTCAATGAGGGAAACTTTATCGACGTCTGATAGAAAAAGCTATTAGGCGAACACTTGGCGTAGAGTCAGCCTTGTGCAAATGTAAATATTCATTAATTCTATTTACATATATAAGCTACGTAATAAATTGCCTGTCTAGGTTAAGGAAATTGCGAATTATCAAAATGGAATCTATTCTGAATAAATTAGTAAATAATGCATTTTCTCACCAGAAAATATTATATATATCAAATCATTATATATATGTTACAAATTCTCAAATTCATTTCTTTATCCTTAATCTAGACGTGCTGCATCTTTCTTGATTTTTAAAATGCGACTGATTTCCACTAGAGGATTCTTACGGGGGCCACACCTTCTTCAGTCGCTACACAGTTTCTAACTTCTGCCGCACACACGCAACTTATTACTATTTATATAAATATAAGTTAATAATGTCCGTGAAGAGACACGTAACGTAGAAAAACAATTTGATAAAATGCTACAGTAAATGTTTTCCACCTTTCGTTTATAAAACATCTTTATGAACAAGAAGCGACACATCATCATTATGTCACGTTATTGCGCTAGAATGCTTGGGATGACACGTCGAAGCTCGATAGAAAAAAAAAGATGAGAAATTTATGCAAAACGTAAACATCTGCCCTTCATTAACGCGTGTGTATATCCTCTTTCTTATCTGCAGTAGTATTAAATTTTTAGCAACTTCAACACATATTACATGATTTATCTGCTTAATACTTTCCTGTTCCTCGCCGCGCATAACTCACGTGCAATTCACGCGCGCGTGCACGCAGCGAAAGATAATATTTTGAATGGATAATTATGTAACAAGCGAATTTGATTCTTTTTGCCGAAGCTGATTATGTTACCGTCTCGTGTATGAGCTAAGCCCTTTCTTTCTTTTTCTTTTCGCGTTCGAACTGACGGTCTATATACTCTAATATTCCTTAGGAGCCGCAATGACGAGCGATCGTATCGCTCGGTCAAACTCGAACTCAATTTATCGTTACGTTTCGGGAGCAAAGATCTCGACGGAATTGTCGACATTCTGCGCGTTGGAGCGCATCGCTCGTCTCCGTTCTTCAATTATTTGTCGTCGTGCTTGCTCCCTCGCCTCGCGCGCCTTTTTATTTGCCTCGCTGTTCGCGGTCGATTTCGCTTTGTGGACTGGTATGACTCGACGTTTACCGTTCTGTTGCGAGGCCGACGCGGCTTTCTTGTCTGGCACGACCTATGTGCACAAAGTGTAATCGCGAAGAATCAAAATATTATACAAGAATTTGATTTTTATTGAATAGAAGGAATATAAATTGAAAAATTAGATGTCGATTCCGTATCAACAATAATATTTGCTCATACCTCTTGCCATTGCGATTTCCTCAGTTTCTCTATCTGGTCAAAGAGTTCGTTTACTTGAACAACCTGTAGCATCACCATGTCCCAGAAGCCAGCCAAGTCTTCGTTTGTCGTTGGAAATTCTTCACCTGGTACCTGATTCTAAAATATCAAGATATTTTAGCCGCTAATTTTATTATTTGTTTGATATTCTAAATAAAATACCAATTAGAAATTTTCTTACGATATTCTTTTGACATAATCCTTCAAACTGCTGCATTTTCTGCGAGGCTAACAATCTAGCTTTTCCTGCAGCAGATCGCAGCTTACCAGCCGCTTCTTCTGGCAGTGCAACAGTATCGCCGCTGGCTAATTCGGCCTCTGCAGATGCGGCCAACGATAACAGTCTATCTGTCTCTTGTTTCAATAACTGAAAGCACAATATGTATAAATTCTTACTGCCGATATAAGTATTTACATCGTGTAATATACGGATTTATTCTCCAATTACCTTCATAAAATAATGACCATCTTTCTCTTCGACTACTTTTTCCGCTTCTTGTGCTTGTTTCGCTATGTTTGTCGAACTGGCGCTGGGTTCTAATACAGGTAACACTACTTTCGGCGCGGCTGGTTGCTGATCAGGTATGCTTTTACTAGTCGTATCACGTTGCGGTATGTCACCTTCTATGGTAATCGGAATCCTTCTTATTACGTTGGTCGGTGAATTTATAGTTGGGAGACTCATCTGTTCGGTTTTCCGTGTCACTGGCATTATCCTGAAAACGTAAAAGTATTTCATTATCAAATAGAAAAAAAATTCAATAAACTAATTTCTATTTTACTTATAAAACATAGAATTCACCTTTGTAACGGCTTTATAACTTGTTCCGTGCCGTCTGTGGGTTTTCTACTACTGACTACAGGGAGCTGTGCTCGAAATTCCGGGCGCAAATGTCGCAGAACAGGCAAATTTTTTAACGATTCTTCTGTGTTCGCGTTATCTGCCGAAATGTCATTGTTATTACTGGATTTATTGAAACTACTGTCGCTGATGTTTAGCTTAGTGATGCTGCGTTTGAAGAAGAAACCTTGCGCTAGAGCACCTGGACCGTACAGCCGCTCTACTCGCTGTTGAATAAAGGATTTCTCGCTGCTTGACGAAGTGTTTAACACTTGATTCTCAACTTCTATTGACGAGCCGTTTAGAATACTAGTATCGCTAAACGATGCACCTGAAACTGCAAAATAAATGGAAAGAATTAAAAAAAAAAAAAAAATGTAAAATAAGTATAAAATATAAGGAATAATATAGAAGAGTTAATTCATTTTCTAAAAAGATATTGGTGCGTATTTTTAAATGATTATTGAACAATTGATATAAAAATATTGTTTGACGCCAAAAGCTTTAAGCTTTTTAGAATCTTCTTTGCTAACAATAAAGAAAATCCAAAATAAAATTTATAAGAAATAGCAAATAAAGGAAATATACTATAATATACAACAGAACTTGCAAATAAGACAGTACAAAAGAGACTAACTACATAACACATGTATCTCTTACATACATCGAAAGACAATAATTGTTAAACATCAACGATGATGTCAAAACATAAATAGAGCCAATGTAACATGACCTATTGACATGAACTTAAGGATAAATTAAATATTATATTCTGTATTTTCAACTTATTTAAGAATAATGTGCATCATTAATAATATTATATTTACTTGTATTGAGTTGTCCGGAAAGTTCGTGCCGACTAACCTATATAATTTAATAAATGTACTAAAATTTAAATTTTCTGCATTTCAATTTTCCTTCAACATCGGCACTTACATAAATCGAATAAATTTGAACAATATTATAATTATTTTGCTTTATATACATTGTAACAAATGTTATAACGGATTACTTTTGAAAGAATTTTTCATCGAGGACATTAACTTAAATAACATTATAATTTCCCGAAATATTATCATCTATAATTGTGGAACTTTGAAATTCGTTCTCCTTAATACAAATAAAAACTTGATGCGATATATCGAAATTAATTCATAATAATAAAAAACAGAATAAGTTTTTAAATTCAGTTCAAAGAAAGTATATGAAAAAAATGAAGAACTTTTATTTAGGGAAATAAATTTAGCACATTAATTTTATTTCTCTAATTTAATATATTAAAATTATTATGAAAAAGAATTTTTCTTACGATTAGTGATGCCTTGCTTCGGAGAGGAGAAACCTGTAGTCCCCATAGACTTGTTTTGTTGTCCGCATGACATCATTGGCGACAATCCGGGACTCCGTTTACTAACGGCAGTGCTTGTCCTGATAGGACTGAGTTCGGAAAGCGTTGGAGGGTGCAACGACACTGCTTTGTCGACTTCCGAGTAACCCTGATATGTCAAGCTGATCGAATTTCTGCTCTCCATGTACGTCTCAACCTTGCACTCCTCCTTCACACCGTTCGTAAATCCGTTTTGTCTATCCATCGCTAACGGCGATATCGACTTACTCTTAGGCGGATATTGGGGCGTCGGAACGTTCAGATTCTCGTTGGATCTGTAATTTTTCAGATATTTATCTAATGGGGTTCGCGTGTATATTTTACTGATTTTGCACGGTGTAAAATACGCGAGTGCCTTACCTGAAACCTGCAGGACTTGTGTCCCTCGTGATCAGCCTCGTGCCAGGACTGCTGTCTCTCGAACGAAATCCTTCCCTCAATTTACTATCGTACCTGGTGATTCCTGAGTAGCCGCTTATACTGCACGCCAATCCCAAGTAACTAGGCTTCTTCGCTGTCGTCAGCTCTGGCTCGGGGCTGCCATGATGAACATTGCTGGCATTCAGCTTCTTCTCATCGGGAGTAAGATGTGATTTCTGCAATGTCTCACTGCTGCCGTTTGCCAATTTCTCGGGCGATACCGGTTCACCGTTGCACGATAGGTTCAGACTGTGCAGAGTCTTCTCGGACACGGAGTCCACGGTGTTTTCTGAAAGCGGAAATTTCGATCTAGCATTCGCGAAAATTCTTCGATCTTCTTCGGCTCCTATTTTCAAAAATTAAAAACGAAAGATATAGAAATTATCATGAACGTCACACCGCGCGATCAAAAGAAATATTACAATCCTGTAAGTTTGGCTGCTCTATTACTATAACGATCATGAACTAAAGTTGCGTAGATTGAACCGCAACAGAATGTTTAAATTTGTCGACATTCGGATTCTTCTGTTAGGCTTTTATTTAGGTTCATGAAATCTCACGATTCACTGTGCTCTCATTAACGATGAACGTCTGCGAGCCAACTGCTCGGCTGACGAGACATTCACCTTCGAAAAGCACTGTCGCCCACGCACTATGCACACGCCAGTTCGCGTTATACAAATTTTATTCGCGTCATAATCATAACGTGGCCTTATTTCCTAGGAACCGGTGGAGCGGTTCCAAGTTCGCTACGTCGAAACAACCGGATGGAAATTCAGTTTAGTCAAAGTACTCGACTACGATCAACCGACGCACTTCGCAGAATTGAGATGAGCCAACGACAGTTCTCCACGCTCGTCTAAATTACCGCGACGGTCCTGGAACACTGAGCAGAGACTCTCGCGGTAGAGAGACTCCCTCGTCAATGCCTTCTTGGCAACGACGAGGAAAAGAAGCGTTTGCACTTGGTGCAAACTCGCCTGCAGTCTAAATCCGATCGGCATTTTGACCGAGCAAAAAGCGTCCACCAATCTGCGAGAAAGTAACGGTGGAGAGATCGGCGACCCCCCACCGACCTTGAAGCATCGAAAATCTATATGAATTTCGAGTAAAGATCTATGAAATACCTGAGGTCGCAATACAAAAGATAAGTTTTTAAATTTAAGTTAATCTGTTTTCCCGAGAAATTTTATCAATTCGCGATGCATTTGAATTTGTAATTAACGCCCGATTACTTTTCGACGAAAAAAGTGAAATATTATACATGGAAAAAGAAGGATTTTAAAGTATCTAAAAGTTTACTAAATATAGATTTAAAAATAATTTTATTGGACCATCAACATGAAATAATTAGGACGCTCAAGCTCATCAGTTTCTTATATAATTATTTTGATGGTAATAAAATTATTTTAAATTTGTATCTAACTAAATTTTAGATGTTTCAGCAAAATCATTCTTTCCATGTATGAGAGAAAACTTTTCTGATTAAGTGATGTCATGATTGTTGGACATTAAATGTGCGGCTTTCATCATCAATTAAGTGCCACATTTTCGAATAATTGAAAGAACTGGTTTACAGATAAACTGTACAATATAATCCCACGTTCTTTCAAGCACATTCCACTTTTTTCCGCGGAATGACTTCCTCACTCGAGTGATGCTTCTAATCATTCTCGGCCCGACCGAGCTCTATGAGAAACGATCCTTCTCTTCGATAGAGAAGATTATCTTGCAGCCAAGTTCTTTTTTCAAAAAATCGTAATGTTCTTCCTAGAAACAGTAGCATCTAAAAAAATCTACAATTCATCTAAAAAAACATTTCAATTTTTGAGTTTTTTTAATTCCCTCTCGAAATCTTAATTTATTTGTATCTATAAATTATCCGATTTTTAAATATTATGAATTCTAGATATCTCCAGATTTCCTTCTGAATATTTTCAAAAGGATACGCAATTTAGGGGGATTATTAACTAGACAACTTGAAGAAATAAAAATAATTTGATCGTTTCAAGTTAAATTACTTTTTTTATTTCAAGTTGTCTAATGGTCTAGTAAAGTTGTCTAGTCAGAGAATAATTTATTCGTAGAACGATTAAATGATTCTCGATAATAAGATGACGATTACTAAATTGTTATTGATAACGTGTCACATAATCGTGGAGATTACGTGTTTCTCAATGCAGAATAGCCAACCTGATCGGTCGGACGCAGAGCGGTCGACGTCCAGGCTGCAGCTGCCGATGCTCTCCTGACTGGTCATGTTGGGGTGATGCCTGGTGGCGATCTGCGCTGGCGGTCGAGGGTCCGGATCGAGGCGGTGATAGTTGAGAGGTTGCACTGCCAGGGAGAGCGGTCTAGTGCGTCGATGTGAACGAATACCACCGGCTCCGGGTACCGACGACGTCACCGTCGCGGTACAGGAGTCGTCGACGTCCTCCAAACCCGCCACCTCGCCACCACCGCGCCGAGGCTGCCGTTCCTCGTCCACGCGATCCTCGTGCACACTGCACAGGTCCGGTTCTCATCCCGTATGCTGTCACGCGTGTCAGAGCGTTCTCGAGCTCGGTGCGGTTACGATATTTATGCGTGCATATGCGTATCTTAATACATCGTGTGCGATCCTGTGAACGCATTGGTGAACGTATATTGATATTCCCTAACAGTTAAAATGATTTCCTCTTGATAAAAGAGGAAATCATTTATCTTGTGACACATACGTAATAAATAATATAATACTTGTTGATAAATTTGGATTTTCAAGGAATTTCAAGGTTCAGTAATTTTGATTATAAATTATAGATAAATTTAAATCTATAAATATAATTCAAAGCGATTTTTTCAGATTTTATTTTTTATACAATCCGGAACAATATAAAAAATAAAAATTTGCACTGAAGCTCAAAGATCTAGATCGCTGAACGGGAAGATACAAAATTTCACATTATCGACAACGTGTTAACATTCGTTTTTGAGAGTCTAATCTATCATAACTCAAAGCTATATGAAGATTTAAAAATAATAATCCCGAAAAAATAATAGATTATTTTTCAATATACGTTATTTTAATTAAATTTTAAATCATGTCGACACTTGTCATCGAGATATTACGTTGCAATCATGCTAGTCTATTCAAATTTATTATACAATCACATCATTTGAATCAATATGATTAAAAAACTCCAAAAAAAATTAAAAATTTTTACAGAAAAAAGATCTTACATTAACAGACGAAATCAAATAAAAAATTTTTAAATAAAATTAGTAAGAAAATAAATTACATTTTGATCAAATAGAGCGGATGAAATAGAGCAGGTTTTAAAAAAATTGATTTCTGATTAAATTCTGAAAAAAATATCACTTTAGCTCTTTTCAACAAGAAATATATATCATGTTGTTCACCAAGTGCGTTTATTATCGGACACTCTGTAGCTGATACTAACAGAAATAGTTTTTTTGATTCCAAATAAGTATTTCCACATGAGACTTTGACACAGATTGACTTTGGAAAAGTTTTTAAAAAGAGTTCAGGAGAGCGACCTCGATTGATAACGAGATGTGTTCTTAAAGAAAGACTGCTTTCTGATGGTTTTTATGCCAGGTTCCAACGGAACAAGTTGCATTTCTCTGTTTCTTTTGTGAATGTCACGTCGTCTCGAAGCAAGTGAGAAAGCGGCACGAATTAGCATTTGCCAGCGACCGTCGCGACTGCTTTTTTGCACATAACATTCGTGCAGTGTAACGGCAATTGATAAGCTATGGTTGATTTCTGATTGTTTCCTTTCGTCATGTATGTATCACCGAAGGAGCTCGAGAACATCATGGATGGAAGCTGGTGGCACCGCAATGTGTCCGACGGATTGTCGGTTTCTCGACAGACCGAAGTATTCTGCATGTATAATATTACAGTTGGATGGGACGGAGGAGGGACGGGAGGGATCTTGCCGAGAGACTCGACGACATAACGTTGATGCCGGGAATCTCGAAGACAGCAAAAATAGATTTTACAACGGCCGTTCCTCGGCCAACAAGAGGTCTCGTTGATCTCGGTTTCGTCGCGAGAATTTCCTCAGAATTCTTTCACCGCGGCGCGACGAGTTAAGCTCTGTGACGTGGTATCAACGGGCCGGATATTCTCATTATCGATGTAACGAGAGTAATTAACGATATCGAATTCGCGTAGCACATAACTGTCCGACAGGAGTGCGGTTTAATGTCTATAACGCGGAGAAAACCGAATGGAAAGTCTTTTTTTTGCGGTGCAATAACCATCAGATTCATGACTTAACGAAGACAAACATTATGCGCAGACAATCTCATTAATTTCGCCGTGACTTTCATATTTTTCTGCACAATATCAAGACAATGAATAAGATACAGATTTTTATTGCCGCAAATCACGAAATACGTACTAATATCAATTTTTTCCTAAGTTGCATTATAAAGTAAATGTCCCAATAACTAAAGAAGATATAATAAAGTTTTCTATTATTAATTAATTTTCTATTATTAATTAATAACACCATCCGATAAAATTTGATCTTCTTTTTATAACACGAATAATCATTTCCGTATTTTTAAATAGGCAAAAAAAAAACGATGATTTTTACTATTAATTAATAGCAAAATTAATTACAAAAGGAATTAATATCCACATAAAACTTTTTTTGTTGATTATTGAAAAATACTAACATATAAATTAAAAAAAAAAAAAAAAAAAGAAAAGTTCAAGTAAAATTATATATATTACACCATATACATCGATTATATCAATAATTGAATTGAAACTTTTTTAAATTTAATTTTCAGTTTCTTATAATATTAACAAAATATATTTGGACTGCGTTCCGAGAGCACGCTTTCAGCGTCAATGCATCATTCGATAAATCTTCAGTGATACTCCCTCCAAAATGGGTTTTTTGTCAGTATAACAAAACTAATTATAAAAAAATATATATATAATGTTTTAAAAGGAAGAAAGAGCCTTTTGTTGAAAAAAATTTTATTTGAAAAATGAATAAGACAAATAACAATTTTATTTTTTATTTGGTAAATGGTAATTCATTTGATATACTTTAAGTATATCAAAATATATCACTTCATCGATATGGCGATAACGCTGAAAACACATTTCCGGAATGTAGGCTATAATGTGTTTAGGTAAATACAGTAATAATATTTTTAAAAATTAAAAAATGTAGACATTATGGCTTTTGTTTCGACGCTCACATACTGTAAACTTCATTCTATCTTTATTGTTACATGTGGAAGGAAGATATAATCAAATTTACACCATGTAAATTGTCTAAACCAAACGCAATTTATGTCTCAAAATGAGTGAAGCTACGACTGTCTTCGCGACATTTAAATAATTTGTCTCAATAATTCGAAATAAAATTATGTTTTTATTAAAAATTATTTTTTATATTTAATAAAATATTTAACTTTTTTAATTTACCATTTTTTGCTGTTATTAAATAAATATTTGAATAATTTCAAATTTATATTGTTCAAACAATTCATATTATTAATTTTTTAATCACTAAGTTTTATTATTGGAACATTTATCTTATGCATAATAAAACTTTCGCATATCATTAATCCTTTTGCCGAATTTTAATGAAAATTTTATAAAAAAAATTTCATGAAAAATTTAATTGCGAGACTATGAATTAAATATTCATTATGTAATCGGTAAAGAAATGTTTGGAAAATAGTGTTTGAATTTCAAGAATTATTGCAGAGTGGCACCAGCTTCCAGCAATTGATTTGTCGCTCACAGACAAGAGACTTGTGCAAATAGCTCCGGCGCGCAAATTAAATTGTCGGCAAATTGGCGCCGGTGTTAATTGCACGCGCTAATTGCACGAACAGCATCGGTCATTCGCCGCGAATCGCATGGGAGTTATCAACTACAGGTCCATTCATTTCGGTCGCACTTTTCTTCATGAAAAACAGAGATGTACATTTTGAAGAGAGAAAATTAAGAGATTATCACAGAGTGCGACTGAAAAGAGTGAGCCTTTACGTATAATATCGCGGATCAGTAGTAAGCGGGTGCATATCAGATGCGATCAAACTACATGCAATGGAATTGTTCTCACATTGGCGATTAAACTTGCGCGACAGTTCAAGACGAGATGTCTTGCGCAAAAGGAATAAATTGTCCATCAATGATTGTCGCACGTTTACTCGCTCATGTAATCGCGAAAATGTAATGTACACAGAAACAGGGGAAGCTTCTTCGAACAAGTCAATATGTAGTATCTCGTTTCTCAAACCGTTACACGCTATTATCATTCATAAGTGCAATTAATAGAATTGTACGCTCAGAGAAAAACATTGTGATAATTATCTAAGTGACAATCGTACAAGTTTTACATTATATAAAATTGATGTATATACATAATTGAATAAATAATTTTTTATAATTATTACATATTATTATATATATGTACATTAATTATCTACATATAAAACTTAAATAGTTGTCATCTATATAATTGCTGTCATCATATCTTTTTCTTTGAGTATGTAATACATAATTGTATAATAGACTTTCCTTCATTTTCTACATATTCTAAATTATATTATTTTTTTAAAATAACATATGAATATCACCATAATGTACTTTCTAGCGCTTTCACTGCCACCAATGTGACTTTTCGATAAAAAAAAAAAAAAAAAAGTACGCCGAGCTCCAAACTGCACTCGTGCGTGTAATGCATACGGCGTCCATAACGGATTAAAGAAACGAGCCGCGCGTGTAGGTAAGACTGTTCGGTGTTGTACAATGTTGTTTACGATGCGGAAATCGGCGCTGACATAATTGCAAGTTAACGGTTTAAAGTGCAACGTGGGGTGCAGGCGTGCGGCCAAGCAAGACTAAGGTGTGCAAGGTGAACGAATCATGCTCGATCGCCGATGACGATGATGATGGCGATGATAGCAGATAGCGTGTATTTGTATGCGTGGACACACGTGGACAGACGGGGCATAATTGACGTTGGAAAATGTCAAAGTATTATTTCACATGAACATGTAACAATTTCTATAGCTCGGGAGACCTCGACGTTCTCATAAGGCGACGCTGACCGTGAAGATATTCTGACCGATTCATTCTCACTCGAATACTAGATTCGTCCCGGTATATCAGGAGTGGCGGATGCATGTGGATGCACCGCTGCATTGCGCCGCTAATGAATCTCGATAATACCTATTCACGTTCTATTCGCTCACCGTGAAACATCTAGGGCTCCAAGGGACGCTTATAACGTATCGCGTGTTGTGTCAATGAAACATTAACTTATCATTGATTAATTATTAATGCCACACGTTAAACATCAATTATATCAACAGTTATTCACTTGGATGAAAAAATGTCGTACACCTGAATACAAATAAAGGTGTGTTATTCTCTATGAGAAAAAAACATGCATGTGAAAGTGCAACGCACGCAATATTAGTTATTGGAGCAATGGGGATCTCTATTGTTAAAATCTTAGGA